TGTCGTGCAGACGTCCTCCTTTACATGGGCTGGGGCCTGGACGTGGACGTGGTTCCATCAAATGGATTGATTCTTGGATTGGTGGATCCATGGATCAAATGCATTGGATCCAATGGATTGGTGGATTCATGGATTAGATCAAGTGGATTGGTGGATTATCAATGAATCCAAATGACATCATCAACCAAGGACCAATATGTAAAATGTGAAAAGTTTAGGTACTAAAATGCCATAAGGAAAATTTTTAGGTACTAAATTACCCCGACAAATGATTAAACAGTAAATGGTCACTCGACAACAATCAACTAAATCACCAATATGTCACCAAATTAAAAGAAAAAATATTTTGGCAGTCACATTTCAATGATATAATTGATGATTTACAATACATTTATCCCCTTATCACATCCCATGTATAAGGTAACTTTCGTTTTCCATGTAATTTCAAAATAGCTAAAGTCAATAGTTGCAAGATGAAAATTTGGAGTCTATATCATATGACTATTAAAGCCAAAAGCTTACTCCACATGACTGCGAAGGGTGAAAGGACATTTACAAATGCGACCTCGAAAGTTAAATAACCGATCCAGAAAACTTACTAATAAGTTTTGCAAATGGGGTGCATGAAATTTACTAATAAGTGTTGAGGAAATGTAACATCATGAACATACATTTTTTCGACAAAATATTGTTTGGTTTGGCCCCAAGATTCTCACGGATTTTGATTTAGGTTGGATGAGGAATTTTACAATGATATATAGCATTGGTGTTATAGGTTTTTATCTTTATGGTACAACTTGAAATTGTACCTTTAATGTTATGGTACAACTTCAGATTGTACCTATACTTTTTGTACAAATTCTTTTATGGTACAACTTAAACTTGTACCTTATGTGATGGTACAACTTCAAGTTGTAAAGTTGTACCATAACATAATGATACAAATTCCTTTATGGTACCACCTAAACTTGTACATTTAATGTTATGGTACAACTTCAAGTTGTACATTAAAGCATCAATACTATATAGCATAGTAGAAGTGCTTTGTATATCAAGGTGACTTCCTATAATGTCACTCATCATTGTTGTCCTCCATTTCACTTTCAAAACGTGTCTAGTCAGTTAAGGTCGATTTTTTATTTATGAACCATGGATATCTTTCTTGCTTTGTTGATGTGGAATTCGCTTAATGTGTTACAGTATGTTTGGTTCCACAAAAATTGGGCGTGGGGAGGCTATTTTGATTATTTTGACAAAACAAAAAAGGAGAACGGGAAAATCGAAAATATAGGGGTGGTTTAAAATTAAAACAGGAAAAGGATAGTGTACAAAATGCTCTTTTACAAAATCACTACAAAACTCAAATTAATCTGAATCTATCTATTTTAATCACATCTAATAGTCCAAAATTATTTTTAACAAAAAACATGGAGGGGCGGACTGGTAATTCCGCACAACCACACCCTCAACATTTTTTATTATATTTTTTTCTCACATATACAGATGAGAGAGAATTTTTTTTCTAATCCCCTATTTTCTTAATTGGATCATATCTAATTCATTTTAACTCAAAATTTAAAAATATTTCACAACATTGATGCATTAATTAAGATCTAGACAAAGATATCTATTTTGTTATATTTTGTGCAAATAAAAAATAATAACTCTTCAAAACACGTGTTGGTTGTAGTATTATCACTGTCATATATGTCATATCATAATCTTCTCACTATGGTAAGACTGACTTTATATCATAATACTATCATATAATGATATTATCACTATGATATAATGACAGTATCATGATATGAAAATGATATGATACCATAAAATTATTCTCTCTAACATAAGACTTCATACCAACATCATATCACTATTATACTGTAATAAGACAGTAATATAATATCATTAATTTATTTTGTAAAACATATAATCTCATACCAACATCACGTCATTATCATATCAACTATCATAACACTATATTAATTGTGTTTTATGTTGACAAGGCTTGGAGCCTACGAAACACCTATTTGGAGATTGTATTTGTTATATATATATATACCTATTAAAAGGTGTATTATTCTCTGTCTTCACTTATGGGGTCGTTTGGATGTGGAAATGTAATGCAGTAATTGGTCCCAATTACCACATAATGCAGTAATTGAGTTAAAAACCCACGTTTGGGAGAGCAAAAATGGTATGGGAATTGGACCATGGAAATTGGCTTCAATTACCACATTCATGGTAATTGAGAATACTACACCTCCCTCTAGTAATTTGACATTACCACGTTTTCTTACTTCTTTTTCCAAATTTCACACCATCAATTCTCACAAAACTAAACTCTATCCAAACGTGAATTTTTTTTTTTCAATTTCCACAAGTCAATTCCTTGGTTTTGTAAAACATGGGAATTGAGACAAATTCCAACATTTTAAAATTTCCACATCCAAACGACCCCTATAGAGTACTTGTGGCCACTGGATAGGTGAGCATATGAACTTACTTGAACAATAACTGCTTTCAAAGGAAAACACTCCAAAACTGGCAGACTTGTGTTGAGCGGTGTGTTGAGCAGTAAATGAGGGAGAAATGCTCAAAACGATTTGCATGATTTGGAAGACTTATTGAAGATTTGCATGCTTGCATTTGAAGGGAAGTTCAAGTAACTAGCCAAAGCACGCTCGCGAAAAATAAATATGTTAAAAAGTTATAATTTTAATGTTGACCCAAAAGTGAAAGTAATTTTATTTTATTTTTAATCATTCTTTTCATAGGTTTGTTATTTACAATAGCATATGGTCGATGAACTTGCATAAGGTACAAGGGTCGTCGAATAGATTATTTATGTTTAAACTTCTTTCATGACGCCAATATTTCAATGTGTATGGCTAGTAGTTGATCCTGCTATAACTTTTGCAGAATGAAACAACTTCTATGTATCTTTTCAAATTAGGTTGGATACCCGTGGATTTGGATTCAATTGTCTTTTGCAAACAAAATGAAAAAGCAAAATGAAAAACACTAAAGCTAAAACTCGGTACCGACTCAAAACTCGTCAACACCAGGTTCAACTCGTTTTGACCTGGTTGGACCGAGTTTTGGACAAATTCACACCTGACACAATACGCCAATTACAAAAACAGATAACACTTGCTCTCGTTGAAAACCTGTAAAATTGGTTTCAAATCACTTTGGTCGGGTCGAATTAGGTTGTATACTCATGCGTTTGGACTCAATTGTCATTCT